TTGGGGTCTTAACAACCAGGAGGATAGCTATGGCTTCTCACCCTTGGCTCAGGCCATTGGTCTTGGTTTCTCTGAATTCTCAGCAGGTGACATTGAAGGTTTCCAGTTGGTAGTTATTGGAATATTGATTTCTTGTTTGGGAAGCAATGTGTAGGGTATTGTTATAGGTGGAAAACATAAGGGAAATAGTCCACTTAGCTCCAGAATCCAATAATCACGAATGTATTCACTTGGGGTCATAAAATATACATGACATAAAATTGACCATTTTAATTATTTTTAAGTGGACAGTTAAGTGGCACCGAATGAATACCTTTACAGTGTTGTTGCTGGTCCATTGCCTGCAAGGTCTTGTTCACTGAGAGACCACTTAGATTCTGCTGTTTGAATGCACTTTGGCCTGTTCCACACAGTCCCCTAGAAAACACCATCTGTTGCCCAGACTCTGAGCATACACTTGTTCTTTTCCAATGTCTGGAATGTTAGCAAGTATCTATATGGTCTGGAGATCAAACTCCAATGAAACACAGATTGCGATCAGACCCCTGAACTTAACTTTGGAAAGTTGGAAAGTTCAGTTAAATTCAGGGAAACAAGAAGTCTTTTTTCTTTCTCTTTCTTTCAAAATCTTTCTTGCTTTCAAAGTCTTCCTTTTCTTTTCTTTCCTGTCTTTCCCGCTCCTAAGTGTTGGGATTATAATCACAGGCATGCACTACTCTGCCAAGCTTAGAACTTTTTTGATTATGATTTAATTGTAATTTTATTTTAGATACATTGTTTAGACTTTTTAATCAAAGAAGACTCCACTCTTTTTAATCTCTCCCTCTCCCTCTCTCCCCGCCCTCTTTCTCTCTCTCCTTGTACTGGGACTTGAACTCAGGGCCTGGGCTCTGTCTCTGAGCTTTTTTGCTCAAGGCTTGTGTTCTAGCACTTGAGCCATGGCTCACTTCTCCACTTCCAGTCTTGGTGGTTAATTGGAGATAAGAGTCTCATAGACTTTCCTGCCTAGACTGGCTTTGAACCTCAATCCTCAGATCTTGGCCTCCTGAGTAGCTAGATTTCAGGCATGAGCCACTGTCTTCTAGCTTTACCATGGTATTCTAATGATGTGTTTATTTTCTCTTCATTTCTTTTTTACTTATTAATTGAAGGTTCTCTCTAAGGAAGACTTATTCTTTTCTCCCAGATTTATTTCCTTATTTGTGACTTGAATTGTTTCAGCTTTTGCCTTTAGGAGCCCTTTCAGGTTGGATCTTGTGTAATTTTGATGTGTCCCATTATTTATACTATGAGAGTTTTACCTTTCTCCATAAAGCTCATCATAAGTAACATATAATGACTGTCTTTTGTAAAGCACTCAGCATATAAGTTAAAGTACTGTGAAGATGATATTAAAGGTTATCAAAGCAAAATATCATTCATTACATGTAAATTGCAGTGTCAAGGCCATGTACTGAAAGAGAGCAAGTGACAGACCATAAGTGCTTCTCTAGGCTCAACCATCTTCAGTTTTTATCCAAAACGTTGTCACCATTCAGCAACACAGTGGAGCCACTTGTGTCACGAGACGCCATTGGAAGTGTGATAGTTCAGATACTTTCTATCTTCTAAATGCATTATCTACTCTGGTTGAAATGGCAGTTCAGTGGGACGAATATGTGGTTTTAAATACAATTGTATTTAGTATCTCTAGAAATATCCATGCGATGAATTCACATAATTTGAAATATTGCATATGCTATTCTGTTAAAAATACATTTGTATGAAGGAGGCAGGATGAGGAATTATATATGTATTCATGTCAGCAGCTAGGCTGGAATCTTGATTTTAACTTCTCTTGTGCTGGTCAGTAAAAGTTTCTCAAAGGAAAATGAAAAGACAATAGTAATAATTCAGAAGAACTAAACAACAAGTTAAAAAAAGAATGTTCATTTGTAATTTAGAGAAACTTAAAATGAGAAAAATCTATAGCTTTTTGAACAGAACTGACAAAACTTGGTTTGGTTAAGACATTAAAATTAGAGATAATTCATGAGTTAACAAAACAAACAAGTCTTGCTACCAGTCTTTCTTTTGTGATGTAATGATTAATTTGTCCTCAAAGAAGTACTATGTAGGGCTGTGGCTGTAGTTCAGAGGTACTTTTCTAGCATGCATGAAGCCCTAGGTTCGAGCCACAGTACTGCAAAACTGAATTTTAAAAAGAGTATACTTTGAAACAGACTAAGATTCAAAACCTCAAGTGATCTGTCTTCACCATTGTAAGGCCAGCAAAACAATTCAATGAGAAGACTATCTTTCCATATGGGACAAAGAGATGATCAAGATTAAGCAAGGCATAAGAAAAGATGATGGTTTCTTTTCCCTCCCTTCTTTCCTTCCATTTTCTTTTTCTTTCTTTCTTCCTTTCCTTTTTGTTGCCAGTCATGGAGCTTGAACTCAGGTCCTGGGTGCTGTCGCTGAGCTTTTTTTTTTTTTTTTTTTAAATCAAGGCTAGTGCTCTACCCCTTGAGCTACAGCTCTATTTCCTGCTTTTTAGTAGTTAATTGGAGATAAGAGTATCATGGAGTTTCTTTCCCAGGCTGGCTTCAAACCACAATCCTCAGATTTCAGCCTGCTGAGTAGCTAGGGTTACAGGCACAAGCTACCTACACCCTGATCTCTCTCACTTTTCTTTTTTCTGCCCTACAGAGTTTAGGTGCAGTGGACTCTGAGCTATCTGGAGAAGTCCAGCTATGGTAGGTCTCATCAATATGTTTGATAACTTTTGACTCAGCTTGGAGAATGCATGAATCAGCCAGCTGAAAATCATTAGCATCCTGAGTCAGGCCACCACAAGTCTAGCTCAGCTATTTCCATGCTGAAACATGATTAGTCTCTTTCAGGGGCTGCATGTCTTTGAGAAGGGATTAGGATGATTCAGTGACCCTGTACTTAGCAAAAAGAACCATCATTGGAATCGGAGAGATCCCAGACAGACTAGTTCTTCTGGATAGGTTGTAGGGGAAATTGCTCTAGTAATAGTGGGTTAAGCCAGATCTCATGAGTTGCAGCATTTATAAACGGTAAGATTGTATCACCAGGCTTCATTGCCCTGATTAGACCATGATATGCCAAGACATGCAATGAGTGAGACACTAGGGTGCCTGGCACAAGTCTAATTGAATATTCATTCCTGCCTGCAACAGTTTAGATTCTTAATCTCCAGGTTCTTTAATCTCTTCCTTAGAAGTCTGACATTGAAGTCACCACGCCTTCCATCTCAGCAGTTGTGTCATGAGCCTTCTGTCCCTTGATTAGTCTCCTGTTTAGATTGCTTTGACACAATTTGATCTCTTGCTGCTAAGTCTCTGACTTTAGGAAATTGTTCAGCTAAAGAAACAGTTATAGTAACATTTTTTCAACAGAAACTCTAGGACATGACCAATTTACAAGCATTGTCCAGTCATCTTTTTTTTTGGGGGTGGGGGGGGTCATGGGGCTTGAACCCTGGGCCTGGGCGCTGTCCTCAGCTCTTTGAGTGCTCTACCGCTTGAGCCACAGCGCCACTTCCGGGTTTTCTGGTGGTTTATTGGAGATGAGTCTCGCGGACTTTTCTGCCGGGGCTGGCTTTGAGCCGTGATCCTCAGATCTCAGCCTCCTGAATAGCTAGAATTACAGGGGTGAGCTACAGGCACCTAGCTCTGTCCAGTCATCTTAGATGAGAGATGGAGACAAGCTCTTCACTGGGTAGCGGTGTTGGTTATTGTCACATTTGGGTGCATTAACCCTGTCTTTTCTATTTTCAGGGGCCAAATGATCTAATTTCTTTATTGCTTTATACTTCTCTGTGCCTGAATGCATCCTATCGATTTCATTATCTCTTTCCACCACCAGATGGTGGAAAGGGAAAAGGAAATAAGAGGCTGATAAATGAATGTGGGCCCAGGCAGAGTAGCTATGGCAGAAAGGTGTGGTGGGCAAAGCACCCAGAAAGGAGCTTGTGGGTTATCCACAAGCAATTCTCACGAATTCCCTGTATTCATTTTAGCACCCAACTCAAGGGTCAGTTCTCCAAATCTGGGGGCTAATATGGCACAATGATGCTTGTTGGGGGAAGAGAGTCAGCCCTTATCTCGGGATTCCTGGGACTCTTAGAGACTGAGAACATTCCTAAGCAATTGAACCGCACCTGGACCAGGCACTGTGTTCATGGGCTTAGGAGGATCCTGTGAGAAGCCACGTAGAGAAGTGTGTCCCACGGACACCCGTTTGTCCTTGTCTGTCCCCTTCTCGTTCCATCACCTCCGACAAGCAAAACTCGCACCTGGCCTGCCGGCGTTCCCACGCTGCGCTGCAGGGATCCTTTCTCCTTCCGCAGCAGCCCCCCTCAACGCAGGTTTGTTCCGGATTGCCTCCCACCCGCCCCCCGACCCCCCCCCCCCACCCCGTCACCTGTTACCACTCAGCACAGCAGGTGTTCTGCCCTTCTGCATCCCTATGACTTCCCCTCCCCGCCCCCCCCCCCCCCCGCCAGTCTGTCCTCTACTTCGCCTCGGTAGCTTTCCCCTCCGGATCCGCCCCTTTTCGCCTTCTTCTCCACGTGCCCCTCAACTCCGACGCCCCCTCCCCCTGCGGACCCCCAATCTCTTTTGGTCTCGAGGAGTCTCGCGGCATTTCCCGGGGCGTTAGCAGAGCCTCGGCATACAGACGGGGAGGTGGTGGGGGGGTGGCCTTTCGGAGCTGGGGGTGGGGGGGGGTCCTCCAGAACCAACAGTGAGGAGGACGTTGGAGCGCCTCTGCTGCAGAAACGCGCGGGGGAGCCAGGGCGGCCCCGCCCCTCTCCGGCCACGCCCCTCTCCGGCCCCGCCCCCGCCCCGGCAGCCGTGCGTCCCCTGCAGGCGGAGCCGCGGGAGCATCGCAGCGGCGGCGGCGGCGGCGGCGGCAGCGCTGAAGAGGAGGAGGGGAGACGAGGCAGCGCGGTAGCGACTGCCGGGCGCTGTGCTGGGCGGCGCTTTTTTTTTTTTTTTTTTCGTAATTTCCACTCACGGAGAGCAGGAAACCCGGTGCAGCCGGGCGCAGCGGGCCGCGATGCAGCAGCAGCAGCAGGAGTCGCCCCAGGGCAGCAGCGGTAGCAGCAGCAGCAGCAGCAGCGGCAGCAGCAGCGGGCGGCGCTGAACCCCCACCGCCGCCACTGAGGAAGAAGCCCGCCCAGGCGCCGCCGCGTTCTGACGCCCGCACCCGGATCCCCGCGCCCCTCATCCCGGCGCCCAGAACCTCACGCCCACCTCCGCCAACTTTCAAGCTGCCTCGGCGGCCCGACCCGGCTCGGCGCCAATGGGTAAGTGGGGGGGGGGGCGCCAGAACCCGGGCGTCCACCTCAGCTTGGGGGGCGGCGCGCCCATCCCGGGACCACTGAGCCGAGAAGGGCGCCACGGAGCAGACTTGGGGCGGGGGACATCGCGAGGGACGTCCTCGCCCGCCTCGCGCGCTCCTCTTCACTCCCACTTGCCTCAGTGTCCCCAAGGAGTCCAGACGCGACGCTGACGGGAACCCGTGGTGGGGGGGGCTGGGTTGAGGATCGCGGGGGCTGGCCCCGGGTGGCTCCGGTTGAGGGATGCTGGGGGGGGGGTGTGGTTGGATTTTCGGGTGGGCGGGGAGAGTTTGGGTCATTTTCTCACCCAAGTGCACCCTCCTCCGTGCTGCAGATGCAGGTAGTTAGACCCAGTGGGCTCTGGCCTGGCTTGGGGCTCGCGGTGCCCGGCTGGCCTTGCTTGGGGGAAGCTGGAATTGGGGTCTCTGGGGGAACTAGGCTGTCTTGGCTGGGAACAGGGGTGAGCTGGAAACGCCCCAGAACCGGGCCTGCCGCACCATCCCAGGGTCCTGAGCTGTGGAAGCCCCTCCCTCTGCCCTCCCCTCCCCATCCTCCGCCTGATGCTCTGGCCCTGACTCCCTCCCTCCCTGCTTGTCTTCCTAAACCCTTTCTCCACTCCATGATGCTCAAAGGTACTTCCCCTGGCCTTAAGTCTGCAGGGCTGGGGAACTGGAAATGTTCATGGAAGCCTTGATTTACTGCGCAAATATCAGTTTCAAGTAGACAGCTCACAGTAGGACCCTTGAGTACCAGTTGGTATAGACCTTGTAGTATGGAAACCACCTTGTTGCCCAGAGTACAGGCACTTTATTGGGCAAAGGACTTGTGATTGCCTGGGCTTGCTAACAGCCAGCTTTTCTTCTTTATGCCTCTAGCATATTATTTTTGGGTGTTTCTAGGCCAAGCGTAGGAAGCCTGCACGTTATAATCAATCATTATAAAGTGAGACCTTTCTGTGTTTAGGTAATGGGGCTTGGGTATACCAGTCGGGTGGTGAGAGGTGAGCAGTCATAGGATGCTTAGGAAGACAGAAGTTCTGGAGGACAAGAAGTTAAACAATCAGTTGTTGATAAAGTTAAAATCTCCTTTGTAGTCATTTTCCAGAATTATTTTCCTTTTCCCAAGTGGTGGAATTCCACATTTAAATGTCACCCTTTTGCCCTTCTGGGATCCCTGTATCACTCAGTCTAAATTCCTTCCTGTTACCTTTTCTCATCAGACACTTTTTTTCTTGGTTTAGTGGCAGTATTATGGCTGAGAGTTTAATATGTATTTTCCTCTACCAGGAACTCTACTATCATAGGGACAGTGCTGTGTTGTACCGGTTGCTTTGGTGCCTGGCACAGAGCAGGCCCTAAGTAAATATTTGTTGAATGGATAAAAGAATGAGGGGCATGAAATCTTCCTACTTGGTGGAAGACAACAAACACAACCTAAACACAGAACTCTCGTGTTTTGGTCCCTGATAAGATGACTTAGTTCATTGGCAAAAGTATATACTTTAAACCTTACATCTCACGAATGGATTGCTTTCTCCTGAGGTAACCAGAAATGCTGTGATGGTCATCTTTCATGTTGGGTGGGTCGTGCATAGGACGTTACATACAGAAAGAAGTGAAATCCAAATGTGTGCTCTCATAGCCAGTTTTCTTTGTAGATCTCAATGGAAAAGGGATGGAGTCTCCTTTAAGAAGAAACAGACCTGTTTATCATTTGGATCGGAACTGTTTTCCATTTTTTAGATTCTCTTTAAAAAATGAGAGTTCTTCCTTATTTCAAAACCTTTTCAAGTGTTCATCATTTTCATTGTAACCATAACCTGGGGAAGGGGGGCAGCAGTGGATTTTTATTTATTTCAGGAGTTAATACTTAGAGGTGTGAGGATTCAAACAAATGTCTTGTAATTCATGAAAATGTTTAGAGTAGGATTTAAGTTACTTGTAGTTTGTGGGTAAAGATCACCTGTTCTTAAAGCATCCCCAGCATTGTGTTTGGGATGAAGTACAGGTATTTATTTAGCAGCTTATTCTATAGCACTTCCCATGGAATATGACCTGGTAGGGCTAGGCTTGTATATACCACAAGGATACCCTTTTCCCCTGAGACTTGGTTTTCAGAAGGTTTATCTGATTTATCAATTTGATATACTTGTGTTCTTGCCTGGTCTGATAATGATTTTTCTGTTGCTGCATAATACAGTGAAAGTGTATAAGAATAGTCTTTGATCTGGAAAAAAAAAGTCTGAAACTCATTAAATCTCTAACCCTGAAATGAGGCTGGTTACTTACAAAATGGCCTCTTACAAAAGCCTATCAGAATGTGCCCCTTGAACTTGCTGGGAGATGCTTACAGTGCCAGACACAGGGAAAGCCTCTTATAATTAAACAGTGCAAATATTATGACCCAAATCTGGGAGCAGTGAAGGGTTTGCAAGCCCAGCAAATGACCTATGTTTAAGACTTCCAGAGTAACAGCAGAGTTTGGACAGTTTTGGTCCATGTATTCTTTCCGTGGTAGATTGCTTTATGCTAAACTAAAGCTGAGTGTAATGTGATGACTTGCACAAACAAATCTTGAGTTCAGAATAGGAGAAAGCATTCCCACCTTTATTGCGCATGACCTTTACCCCTTTTTTATCCTTCATGGCCTGAGCAAGACCTTGCTGTCATCCGGGTTGCAAAACCATGGTTGTTTCTTCTCTTACCACTTTAGTTCTTTTTGCATTATTGACATTCTTTTGACATTCTTTTTTTTGCCAGTCCTGGGGCCTGGGCACTGTCCCTGAGCTTCTTGTGCTCAAGGCTAGCACTCTACCACTTGAGCCACAGCACCATTTCTGGCTTTTTCTGTGTATGTGGTACTGAGGAATCGAACCCAGGGCTTCATTCATGCTAGGCAAGCACTTTACCACTAAGCCACATTCCCAGCCTTGCATTATTGACATTCTTCCATCAATGCTTGCTTACAATTGTTTTAAAGTATGTAGCTTACAGTATTTATGCTTGGTCAGTATTTGTTCATTTATCCATCTATCTAGTTTCTCTTGACCTCCTGACTTGTGCCAGGTGTTATTCCAGAAACGGGTATACCATGCGTGCACACACCACACACACACACACACACACACACACACCTGCCATCTTGGGCTTCTCAGTCTAGTGGAGGATTGGAGTGCAGTACACATAGTAATGTGGAACTAAGAGCTATTGTAGACCTCATGAAAGCAGAGTAGAAAAGGGGAATCTGATGTAGGCTGGAGAGTGGTTAGGATGATGTCTTTGAGGACATCAGGTTTGGGCAGAAATCAGAATGTTGGGTATGAATCATCACTGTCTCCCATCACCCCCTACAGGAACATACTTGGAGTTCAACTGATTTTTCTTCTCCTTGCAGGGAGAATACCCATCATTTGAGCAAGAGGGAGGCAGAGAGGCTGACTTAGAGGATTGGTGCTTGTTATCAGGTGGTTTGAGGAGTGTATAAGGAAGTCAGATGATGCTCTGGATTGGATGATGCCAGGGGTCCTTCTGTGATTTGATATCTTAACAAGTGTTCTCTAGAAGCAGGGAAAATGGGAGTCACAATTGGTTAAATCAGACTAGTAGGGAAGTAGCAGAGACTTGCATTATCCATGGTTTGGGGACATCTGGTCACATTTGTGGTTTGGACAGGGCTTATGTTTTGTCTGTGTTCAGACATGATTATGGAGAGGCTTGATTTTTGTGTCTTATCCCAATATAAAGTGACCTTGCTTGATACTGGTATTCTCAGGATTTTTTTTTTGTCAATTGTGGGGCTTGAACTCTGTGCCTGGGTGCTGTTCCTGAGCAATTCAGCTCAAGGCAAGCTCTCTATCACTTGAGCCACAGCACTACTTCCGGTTTTCTGGTAGTTCATTGGAGATAAGAGTCTCACAGACTTTCCTGCCCCGGCTGGCTTTGAACCTCGATCCTTAGATCTCAGCCTCCTGATTAGCTAGGATTACAGTTGTGAGTCACTGGTGCCTGGCTAGGAATTGTTTCTTTCATTTTTTTTTTTGTTTTTGTTTCTTTTATTTGGTGCCTGTCTTGGGGCTTGAACTTAAGGCCTGGGCACTCTTCCTGAATGTTTGTGCTTCAGGTTAGTGCTCTACCACTTTGAACCACAGTGCCATTTCCAGCTTTTGGTAGTTAATTGGAGATAAGAGTTTCGTAGACTTTCCTGCCTGGGCTGGTTTTGAATTGCCAGTTTTAGATCTCAGCCTCCTAACTAACTAGGATTCCAGGTGTGAGCCATTGGCTGTACTATCAGTTTTAGTTTTGTACTTTATTCTGTTAAAGTAGTAGATAAAGGGGTTTCAGTTCCACAGGTCAGATTATGAGTGCAATACATATTGATTTATATCATCCCTTCTATCATTCTCCTCTATAATCTTGTACTTTTGTTCAACATTAAGCCAAATGGACAACTGGAAAGCTCTACCAGGAAGGGGATCTGGGGTAACACATTTTCTGAGAACCAAGAAGTTGAGCTCTTCATGGGAAAGATGTAGCCCTGGAAAATACCAGAATCCTTACAGTGTTACAGGAGAGCCCCTAGTAAAGTGGTTGCAGAGTGTGATTCCCCCTGGGATCCCTGATAAATTCTCTGGCCTAAAAGGGAATCTTACTGCATTGTTGGTGGGAGTGTAAACTTGTTCAACTTGGTAAGCAGTATGGAGGTTCCTTAAAAGACTCCACATAGCCAGGTGCCTGTGGCTCACACCTGTAATCCTAGCTACTCAGGAGGCTAAGATCTGAGGATCACAGTTCAAAGCCAGCCCGGGCAGGAAAGTCCATGAGACTCTTATCTCCAATAAACACTAGAAAACCGGAAGTGGCACTGTGGCTCAAGCGGTAGAGCACTTGCCTTGAGCTGAAGAGCGCAGGGACAGTACCCAAGCCCAGAGTTCAAGCCCCATGACTGACCAACAACAACAAAAAAAGACT